TGGCTGGAGTGCAGTTGTTTTATTGAATGACACAAGCCTCTTTTCCCCCTGGGAAGTCTAAAAACTGCTTTTTTGGCCTGCCTGAGATCGCTGAATGAGCTAATACAGAACACATTGTCTGCTGAGCCGGCAGAGTTTTCGAGCAAAAATTTTATCATTCCATAGACTGATTGTGCTTGCCTGGAATAAGGAACAAAATGTTTGAGGCCTCTCAAGGGCATTTGATGAATCTAACTCTAATTTAAAGAGACTAATAGATTATTGATTTAAGCAGGATGATGGTGAACAGATCAATGCCTGAGCACTCTGTATCTCCCTTAAATACCAGAAATGACTAGTGAAAGGGGAGCCACGGACTGTCCCCTTCCTTTGTATTGCACTGTCTTTATTGGGGGAAGGGGAAGGGAGGAGAAAAAGGGAAGAGGAGCTCTAATAAACTTTGCCTTAGTTATGTTTTTGCTATATTACCGAAAAGGTAAGAGATTACATTAAAGAACAAATCTTTTGTATTGATGCCGTATCCTGGTTGTAATTCTAGAACTTGTCTAGGCATGTTTGCTTGAGGCCAGCTTTAGTGAAATTTTCTTTTCTTTTTTCCGCTTTGCCTTGTTCTCAGTGTTACAGGAAATAAAGAACCATTGACTGTCAATTTTGAGGGTGATATTTGAATATTTAGTCAAATATTAATTCTTTACCCCCCAGTGGGAAAATTTTTCCGAAGATGGTTATTTCTTGTTATACATAAGACTTTTCTTTTTCTATCTGTGTGGGATTCATTTATGGCATTTGTAGGATTCAAATTACAAAATACAGTAGAAAGAACCAATTCATCCTTTAAAACAGAGCCTGGTCACCTCCTCTGGGAAGCCTCCCTTGATTTTTCCTGGGCTGAGAAAGGCCTCTACTTCTCTCTGTCATTATATTTTATCAGTGATTTCCAAACTGATTCAATTTGTATTCACCTGGGAGAATTTTTTAAAAATGGATTCCTGGCTCCCATTCGCAGACATTCTCACATAATGAGTCTGGGATACAATTTGGGCATTAGGATGTTTAAAAGCTCCCCAGGTGGTTCTAATGTGCAGCCAGGTTTGGGAATCACCGTATTCTCATTGTTGGTTTTTTCTCTATTAGGCCAGCTCCTCAAGGGTAAGGGATTATACCATGCACAGTCCGTAGCATGTAACACAGTGCCTAACATGGTAGTACTCAGTGAAATAAGCACATGAACAATCTGAGAATCCATTGTACTAATATGCAAAAGTTCTTAGCAATAACTGGTAAAATCATCACAGCCTTAACCACAGTCCAGGTCTCTTACTATTCATTGCTTACAATAGAACATTTTCATTCATGGCAATTGTTCAGGAATAGCCTTCAGGATTCTATATTTTTTATAAGTGACTCTCATCCATACAAAAAGGCTTTTATCAATCTTTCTAAAGTGTTTTGGGATTTTTAACATCCAGTAGGCCTCTCCCTTCTTGTGTGCTTTGCCATAAGTTTCTTGGGTGTTAAATTGCCCACGATTCTGTTTCCTCTCTTTGGTTTGGGAGGATGAAGTGCTGGACTCCCTTCAGTGCATGTATTTGAAGTGGCGTATTTATGGAAATTACCGCCCACTTTTGAAATTCAGGGCATAACTCTGACAGCTGAGTCCAGCCCTAACAGAATTCTATTTACAGCTTTCCTAGACAAGCCAGATTAGCAGTTCTACACGAGTGAGTAGAACACTTAAGCACACACACACACACACACACCCACCTTGCTTCTGAGAAGAACACAATGCAGGATTGAGCATAGTGGTGATGACATGGCCCTGTCCGAGTTGTAGACACACATGAGTAGAAGTAGAAGTACACATTTCAAGCCAATCCAAAGATTTGGGAGGCGTATAGGGAAGGGCTCACTTATGTTTATATTAGGAGTGTAAATGGACACAGCCTTTCTAGAAGTCAGTTTATCAACATGAATTAAAAACTAACAAAATATTTTTAAAATAACATACCTTTTTAACTAATAATTCCACTTCTGAGAATTTATCCTAAGGAAATAGAGATGTGCTGAGATTAGCTACAGAGTTGCTCATCACATCAGAATATTTTGTGGGAAAAAATATTTATTGGTAAGGAAATAAATTCATGACATCATAAGTTAAACAAATTCCCAAACAATCTCAGTACAGTTCCACTTTAGTAAACAAACTAAAAACAATTATGTGCACAGAAAAAAAGTCTGGAAGGATCTATACCAAGATGATCACGGCGGATTTCTCTGAGTGAAAGGATTGTGGGTGATTCTTTGTGTGTGTGTTTTCTTGGATTTTAACAAAGCGATATATTGTTTTGTAATTTTAACAAGTAGTGTTTTCCTGTTAATGTCATTACTCATTTACTTTCAGTGAAGCTGGTTAGCTTCATGTGAGAAATGCTTTTGCATTTACAGCTGGATAGCTGATAAGCTTTAGTGACATCTCAGATGCCAACACTTCTATAGAACACACCACTGTGCCAAGTTATCCTAAGTGAGGGCTTCCTATTTGCCAGAAGAAATAATGTACTCAAGATTGATGTCTGCCTCCCAAATACCTCAGCTCTAACCAGTAAGACCATAATAGATTTATCTACTGGGACCAGCACTACTCAAATGAATTCATTCCAAGATTCTTCTGAATTATGAAAATACTGTAATTATAGTTGATACTCTTCCAAAGTGATAATTAATCCCTTTTTTAAGGAAATAAATGAGTATAAGAGTGTGATTTCTGATTTTATCATTTAACAACTTAGAGGGGCACTTACGTGTTTGAAATGAGGGGCAAAAAAAGGAAAAGGAAAAAATGTATGCATTAATTCAACCAATTTTTATTGCTTACCTGCTATGTACCAGGACTTCTAGTCCTGGAGCTCAGTTGGAAGCAATGCAGGTAAGTTCCTCTGCCTTGTGAAACCCATATTTGAAGTGTGGGGGGTGGCAGATGTAGAATATAAAATTGTAGACGGAGGTCAAGTGTTTGGATCCCTGTTTGGGCCAATGGCTAAAAAATAAAAATAAAAATTATATACAAATAAACTTTCTAAATATGGACACGAGTTAAGATTTTAACAGAAAATAAAGTAATGGGGGCTGGCCCTGTGGCTCACTCGGGAGAGTGCAGCGCTGGTAGGGCCGAGGCCGCGGGTTCGGATCCTATATAGGGATGGCCGGTGCGCTCACGGGCTGAGCGTGGTGCGGACAACACCTTGCTGAGGGTTGCGATCCCCTTACCGGTCAAAAAATAAATAAATCAATAAAATAAAATAATGGGATAGAATGACCAGGAGTGGGAAGGGGCATTTTAATTAGATAAGTCATCTCTGAGAAAGTAACATTTGCTCTGAGGTCTATGAGATGAAAAGTAACCAGACATGTGAGGGTCTGAGAATTTCCAGGCAGAGGAAATGGTTAGTGCAGTAGCCTTAAGCTGTTCTGAGAGCCTGGCCTATTCAAGAGACAGAACAGAGGCCAATTATTTCAAACTCACAAGTGAGGGAAATCATTAAAGGCAGTGATGTTTCTAAGGGGCCATGCCATGAGAAGCCTTGTAGAGCACAGGAAAAAGTTTGACATTGATCTCAATGGTGACAATTGGAGGGCTTTAGATAGGCAAGTGAAACGGATCAATTTTCACTACTGAATAATTCTCTGGACTGTTTGAAGAACGGACCCTGTGGTAGGACAGCAGGCACAGGGAGACCAAGGAAGACACTATTGTGGTTTGGAGGTGAGGGATGATGGTGAACTACAAGCCCAGTGTGGCAGCAGGATAGTGAGAGGGATGGATTAACAATGTGTTTAGGGGGTGGGGTTCAGCTGACTTGCTAAAAGGAGGTTTGCCTATAGGCTAATTTAGTCAGTAGGATATCTAATATGTAAGATGACAGGCAGCAGAGTAACTGGAATTCTATACTCTGGAAAATATACTGTATATTGGAAAGTAATCTGGAGACTAGAAGATTCTGAAACATTATTTGACAACTTTCAATCACCCCTTCCATCCAATTTTATGAGCTTTTTTTGCCTGTCATAGGAGTAGGGTCAGTTCTTGCTTTGACTTTGAACGTAGCCCTTGAGAATGGGAGTGGGGGAACACTCTGGTCTTATGTTCTGTGAATTCCCATTTCCCATAGAATTTGGGTGGTTAGGTAATGAGATGGGGGATCATATATTTTGAAATCTAGAATAAAGAGCAGCATGACTTAGAAATGGCCCATGCCACTCTGTGCCATCATTAGGCATACCCCGCTGTTTTTCAAATCTTGATTGTACATTCAGTCACCTGGGATTTTTTCAAAAGGCAGATTCTGATTCCATAGGCCTGAGCTGGGGCCTGATACTGTATTTTCTTATAAGCTCCAAAGTGATGCCGATGCTGCTGGTCCAAGGACTAACCTTTGAGTAGCAAAGGTCTTACCAATATTGTATGACGATCAGGTATGGTTATATGCTAAAAGCTCTCATCATATACTTGTTGAATGACTGGTTTGGGCATTTTCTTCAATTTTTCTAAGGACATTACTTTTGGTTAAGTGAGCAACGGGGTCTAACAGTCATTTGAGACTCTGCATGAGTCAGAAACTAGTAGAAATTGAAGAGTAGAAAAAGCCTGGGTTTCGTAGCATGAAGATCTGAATTTGCATGTTGGCTCTACCAGTGCCCGTTTGGTCTTGGACAAGTCACTGCCCTCCTCTGAGTTTCTATTTCCCTTGAGGGTAAAATGCTGATAAAGATCATCACCCTCACAGTGGTATGGTGAACTTCAGGTGAGAGAGATGTGTGAGATTGCTTTGTCAACTGTAATGTGCCACATCAACATCAGAATCACCACTGCTGTGCCTACAGTGACTACTGTTTTTATGGGCTGAATTTGGGGCAGAGGCATATGAATTCGCTGATGAAAAAGGAAATTCACTGAAATCACATTTTCTCTTTTTTCTCCCCCCGCCCCATCTCTGTTGTAGCAATTGAAACACAGAGCACCAGCTCTGAGGAACTTGTCCCAAGCCCTCCGTCTCCACTTCCTCCCCCTCGAGTGTACAAACCCTGCTTCGTCTGCCAGGACAAGTCATCAGGGTACCACTATGGGGTCAGCGCCTGTGAGGGGTGTAAGGTGAGTACCCACGCCTCTGTGCCTCATGAGCTTTCATTCTCCCTGTGCTCTCTGGAGGTGACCTACCCAGCTCCAGAAATAGGCTGCTTTGACATCCATGATGCCACCTCCAGTCAGTGTGGTAGGTCCACTTGTATTTGATGGTTTTCATCACTTATATTTCCGTAGTTTAAAATTCAGAAACTTCTGCAACTGACTGATTGGGACCAAAGGTTCTAGGGCCCTTAAAATACCACCACATAATAGTTATTTTCAGATAATAAGAACCTTTTGAAGGAGTCCTGAAAAAGATCATTCTTTTTCTCTTTAGAACATGCTGTCTGGTGTCTTTGTAGTTTTATTTTATTTTTAAATATGACTGGCAGTCCACTGAATCAACTTGCAGAGAACCCAAGGTTGAAATTGGGATTTATCTCCTGGCTGTTTCCTCAGCCCTGTGGCCTTTGAATTACAGTTTGATTTTCAGCCTGTAGGGACTTGCTACTGTATGTGTGTCATAAATTCAGGGGAGTTGGATTTAAAATTCCTGCCTACAAAGTACTGGAGGCTGAACATGTCTCAGAGAGTATATGGCTGCTTTGAATCAAGCTAGACAACTGTTATCAAGTCCAACAGGCTTAATTGAGTGAAAGAGCAACTTCTTTTTTTTTTTTTTTAAAGGGAGAAAAGAAACAAAGAATGACTTCATAGGCAAATTCAGCTCATCCATAAAAAATCTCTCAAAGGAACCGGGCTGTCTAGAGCTAGTCCTTCTTTAGATATATAACTTCTTTAAGTTCTCTCTGGATGGTTGTTCAGATCTGTTGTTTATACATCTAAATTGCATGATTTATTTGTAATTGTTAACATGTTGGAATAATATTACAGGTGCTCTATGGCATTTTATATTTGGCTTATAAGAATTAAATGTGTAAAGCCATCCTTAAACTTAATGGTTTAAGACAATAACCCATTATTCAGCTTAAAATTTTATGGGTCAGAAATTTCGGCCAGGCTCATCTGCGTGGTTTGTGTAGTCTTAGCTATGCTCCCTGATGTGTCTCTGGTCAGCTGCAGGTGGCTGGTTGGCTCTGCTTCTGGGAATGCTGACCGTTGGCTAGAAAGCCTCAGCTTTCCTCCGTGTGGTCTCTCCTCCCCATTGGGCTGTTCCTGGCTTATTAACAGAGGTGGGGTTGCAGAAGAAGGAACAAAAGCACGTAAGGTCTCTAGAGGCCAAGGCTCAGAAGCTACCCACTGTCACTTCTGCCACATTCTGTTGGCCAAAGAAAGTCATAAAGTCAGTCTAGATTCAATAGGTAGGAACATAAACTCAGCTTCTTAATGGGAGGAGCCTCAAAGCCACATGATGGGGGGTATGGATGGGGGGGTATGGGGGTCCCTTTTGCATTCTACCATACTCCATATCTAATGAGCACAAAGTGGGCGGGGACCCTAGCTCTGTTGCTCGGCACCTCGTGCACAGTCTGGCATATAGTGCTTAAAGAGGTAGGTTGAACAAATGCGTTAAGTGCCACTCAGTTCCTCAAAGCAATTATGTAAGTTTTCCCTTCTTTTCAAATCATTTGAAAAAACATAAGTACTATTTTACAGGGTAAGGCCAGATTGGGGAAATTTATTAAAGACTTAGGAACATCTCTCTGCCTCTGGGATTGTGTTGGTTATTTTAAAGGAATTCCCTTTCCTCCAGTAGCTTTTGATATGGTGGTCAAGAAGGTTATATGGGCAACCAGTTGACAGTTGGCTAAAATGCAAGACATTGTGCATCTCATTTTTACGTTATTATTGGTAACCCTTAGCTGAACTACTTAAATTTATCCTGCGATCTGGGAAGGCTTCAGTGGAACACCAGTTTATTTTGTGCATTTGTTGTACAATATATAAATAAATCATGTTCTAATGATCATTTGAAAGTTAAATGAAAAGATACTTCTTTAGTCCCAGAAACTTTTAAGTCATATCATGTCCAGAAATCTGGAAGATGTATGCTATAACTCAGCTTACCTGCTCCCATAATGTCCCAAAGAAAGAATTTATTCAACCTGTCCTCTCGTGGCAGATCCCGGGACCTGCATGTTAAGCTGTTTCACAATCTGTCCTGTACAAACTGTTTTAATCAGCTTGGAGCCAGCTAATTCTCTGACCTCTTGTTTTAATTTGGAATTCTCACTCTTAGGAAAACCCCAACAAAAACAAAACCCATACCAACACAAACAACTTTGATAAACTCAGTTAAGTGGTCCAGAGTCATATTATGGTTCATGTTTTTAACAGAGTTATGAGCCCAGTGAGGTCAGATGAATTCACCAGACTGTTGCTGAATTTGATAATTTTTGTATTGCCGGTGGGCCTCTGAACACGTGGACTGCCTTTCTCCCTGGCTGTTGGGAAAAACTTGGTTTGCATTCTGGCTTTCTGGGAAAATAGAATGATAAAATTCACTGAGCTGAAAAACATAAGAACATAAAAGTATAATGTAACAGCCAAAAAAAAAAAAAAAAAGAAATATACCTTTCTAAAAAATTAAATATGTTTATTGTCACTTTTAAAAATTACCAATATAATACAGAATTTACTGTATAAAAAATAGAAAATTAAAACAATCATGGTTCTACCCTGGGAGAGAACCCCTGTTAAAACTCAGTTTTCTATGAGTATATGCATATTGTTGTTGTTTTTACTTTTTTTGTTATTTTTTACAAAAATAGGATTTTATATTGTATACTCCTTTAAACCAGCTTTTTAAATTTATTAATCTTTCATGTTGAAAATTTGAACAACTGCATAGTTTTTTATGGTTATACAGTTAATGTAGTGGTTTATGGCTATATCATCATTTATTTTCTAATGCCCTATTCTTTTATATAATTAGGGTGTTCACTTCTTTTCTATTACAAATACTGCTTTAATGTATAACCTTTAGGTACATTACTGATAATTTTTTTAGGATAAATGAGTAGAATGGAATTTCTAGGTCAGTGGCTTTGTACATCTTTATGGCTTGTGATACAAATTGCCAAAATGCCCTCTAGAAAAGGTGTATTAATTTAAGTTCTGCTAATCTGTAAAAAAATTAATCCTATTAGAGACTGTCTATTGGAGAATCTCCCTTGTAATAATAAGGTAATGAATGAAGAAGTAACTTCTCTTCTGGAGTTCTGCCTATATTTAATTTGATATTTACGATGGACTCCATGCATGATATCATTTTGGGCTACCAGCAGATGCACCTTGGGCTCCTGCTTGATCGATAGAAACTGGAGCATCCTTTGGCTGGAGATCAAAGGTCACTTCTCTGGACTGGGCCTCTGCTCTAAAGTTGGACTCCCAGACAGAACCCAGTGTATATCGTCAAGGAGTAATGCCTACAGTGGCTTCTGCCTGTCAACACCAGGATGACCTTATTGGCTATTATTTGGGGGAAAAGAACCTCTGTCTTCCTAGAGGTCAGGTGGCAATCTCAGCTTTAGCTGCAGCCATTTGATGGTTGTTGGAATTTAGCACATAGGTTGTGGTCTACCTCTTAGAATGGTCAATGGCTGCTGTATTGACATAACATCAGCATGGCAACATAACCACTAGACACACCATATGGATGCCCTGTTTAGGAGATTTCCAGCTGAGTGATGGCAGTTTTTTGCAGAAGACAGAGTACAAAAAATGAATGTGTGGTGTGGTTAGCCAAGAAGGTTTAACAATATAAAATAATAAAGCAATGTTAAAAATAAAATCATAAGACAATAAAAATAAAATAATGTATCTTTAGGAAACAGTCTCATTGCTCATAGCTAAAATTTATGCACAACTTTGGCCTTAATCATATTTTACATTTCCATTTCTGTAGCTTTCAAAGAATGTGGAGTCTAAAGTGATAATACTAGGATCTGAATCCTAGCTAGGCTACTTGCTAGCTTGGTGACCTAAGGCAAGCATCTTAAATTTTCTGTCTCTTTTCTCATCTGGAAAAATGGCGATAATCTTTCCTCATAGTATTGTTGGGAGGATCAAGTGAGTTACAATGTATGAAGTATATAGAATATACTGGCACGTACTACGTGGTATATATGCTTAGTTCTTATTTGTATTATCATTAACTTATTATGACTTTTGCACACAGTGATGCAACATCAATTATAATCTTAGTACTCTTCTTGGAAAGTTCTTTCAACAGTTCCCCATCCTTTATATTAAATAAATGCTGCCTCTTTCCTTCAAGACTCAGGTTAAGATCTAACTACTCCATAGAGCCTGCCTGGATTACCCTCATACAGGGATTGACAAATTGTTCCTGCAAAGAGCCAGATAGTAAATATTTTAGGCTTTGAGGACTTTGTGGCCTCTGTTGCAACTACTCAACTTTGCTGTGATAGCATGAAAGGAGCCACAGACAATATGTAAATAAATGGGCATGGCTACGTTCCAATAAAACTTTATTTACAAAAACAAGCAATGGGCCAGATTTGGCCCTTGGGCCACAGTTCCCTGTTCCTTCTCATGATTTCTAAAAGTCAGAAGCTGGTGGCCCACATCACTCATGCTGAAGGTGGCAGGCCAGCTAGTTTTGGTGGACCATAGGCCTGGGACTGTCGGTCCCCCTCCCCATAGATAAAGAGTTGATGTCCACCTGCCCAGGGGTCCGTGCAGCTTCTAGATCACCCTCCCCGTCTGATCATTCCTCCACCCCTTCATTCATACTCAACTCTGAGTTCCTCATCATTCAAAGTCAGAGAAGTGATTTCCTTCTAATTGAGCATTTCCAGAAACACCTGGCATCCCGCTTTGGAGAGGTTTGTGGAATGTATTCTATGAGCTGCTATCTCAGCTTTTCCTGCTTAGCAAATAACTCAAATGCTATTAGCTTACAACAATAGACATTTATTATTTCTTACAGTTCTGGGCGGGTCTTCTTTTCTGTGCTGGTTTGCTTGAGTCAGGTGGTCTAGGATAGCCTTACTCACATGACTAGGGCCTTGGTGAGATGACTGGATCCTCTATCTGTGTTA